CCTCTTCTTCTTCTACATGCATGCAGCAGACCTCTTCTTCTTCTACATGCATGCAGCAGACCTCTTCTTCTTCTACATGCATGCAGCAGACCTCTTCTTCTTCTACATAACCCTTCATTAACTGCTTTCTTCCTGGTTCTCCCCAGTACTCCCAGGCCTCCACAGTTCTGTCTGCTGGAGGGATCCGACAGCAGTTCTCTCTGCCCGAGAACATCCACCTCTCTCTGGCCTCCGCAGACTTCATGAGGAACATCAATGTGGGTCACGTCTGATGTTTGTGTCTCAGCTCCACCATGACGGGTCTTTAAATCATTAAACGTCACAGTCTCGTTAATACAGTGAAAACAATAGAAAAGACAAAAACTATTTAACAGTTTGAGACAAATGATAAGAGTGTCATGAAATAGAAAAAGAATAGAATTTAATTTCAAAACTTAATAACAGAAAAAGTAGTAAAACATGTGAAATAGAAACTAGATTAATAAACTAACAGAAACATTGATATATCTTAAATACAATGTTATGAGTGGTAAATACAATGACAACAAAATAGAAGAAGTTAGTTAGAATAAAATGTTTAAACTTAAATACAAAAAAAAGTGAGAAATAAAATAATAAAACTTAATACAATCTTGCAAGTTAAATACAATAAATTGAGTAAAATAATGTAAAAAAAAAAAAAAAAGGCAATAATATTCTAAAACCCATTGACAGCAGCGTGACGTGCATCTGTTTGTATCTACTGTATGTTTTGTAACGTATTGTGAGTAGATAAATGACCCTTCTGCGTCGTCTCAGGAACACCTCGGCGTGCTGAATGAAGACCCGGTGGACCTCCAGTTCAACCAGTCAGGATACCTGTTTCTGGCCAGTGAGGAGGTGGCTCACATCATGGAGGAGAACTACAGCACCCAGAGGTGTTTCATCTAACGGAGACTCTCCATTCAGAGATTGTATTTGGACATTTTGACTTCAGGGATTATTATTCTTCAATTAAACGACCTCACTTTGTGATTGTAGGAACGCCGGAGCCAAAGTGTCCCTCCTCTCTCCGACACAACTGAAGGAGAAGTTTCCGTGGATGAACACAGACGGGGTGGTGCTCGCTTCACACGGTGAGAGCAGATGACACACGGGCTGATATTTAATCACTCCTTAATGTCGTAACAGTTCAAAGTGTTCGTGATGTAACATCTTCTTGAGCAACACTCAGCTGATGAGGGTCAGATTTACTAAGATAATAATGTAACAGAGGAACTCCCAAAAAGTCGTGTTCAAGATTATATCAACGTTCAAAAGGGAGTTTATGGACCGGAGTATTTTGGTTATATCTTTTGGAAAAGCTGTGAACACAAACTTTCTCATTTTACAGCCGATCAGTGAACTAAAATATGTTCCTGAACACGTGAGACGAGAAATAAGCCGTGCAGTCACAACATATCTGTGCATTTTGCTCTTTGCTTCCGAGTTCGACTGTTTGTGATTCCTCAATGTAGTTACTCATTTACACTTTATGATTCTAGTGAATTCATGAAGAAGTGTGTGCGTGCGTGCGTGCGTGTGTGCGCGCATCAGCGTAACGTTTCTTACCCCTGCGTCCTGACTTGCAGGCTTGGAGAACGAGGGCTGGTTCGACCCCTGGACTCTGCTGAACGCCTTCAGGAGGAAGGCCCTCTCCATGGGGGTCATCCAGTGCTGTGGAGAAGTCACAGGTTTGTTACTGTGGTTCTCCTGACCCCAAAAACATCCCGATGTACAGTAAATCTGATTATTTCAAACCTCATTCTTCGTTTTAAGTTCACAGTTAAAAGTTACGTTTTTACATTGAAATTGTGCAAAAAAACGAAATAAATTCCATCTGTAGTCTCATTACGATGTTTTCCTTTATGTCTGTGTGAATGTTTCTATTCCTTCCTCAGATTTAAAATACACAACCAGCCGGATTTTATCTGCTGACGGTGATGAAATGGATCTCAGGAGGATCGGATCTGTCAAAGTGAGTGAGCATCACGTAGCTGTCAATCAACCTGTCTAGTTGTATGAGCCGAGAATCTTCTTTGTTGTTGTTGTTGTTGTTGTTGAAAAGGCCGAGATAGATTTAAATCCAACATAGAATTAAAAACGTCTTTCTGAATATTGCAAATGAATATCTTAAAACTGAAAAAGATGCTGCCTCTTGTAGGTGAATGACTTTTTGTCGGGTTAATGTAGTCGATGTGTCTTTAAATACTGAGGCAGCACCATAGCAGCAGCGCAGCGTTGTTCATGATGGGATGTCCCGTGTTGAGCAGGTGCAGATGCCCAACAGTCTGGAGTACCAGCCGGTGGAATGTGCCATTGTGGTGAATGCAGCGGGAGCCTCTTCTGCTCGGCTGCCAGAGATGCTGGGAATCCCTCTGCCCGTGGAGCCGCGCAAAAGGTCGCCGGTGACTTCAAGTGGCTTATTTTCCTTCTTCTTTTTCGACCTAATTGCTGTCAAAATGTCTAGTTTTCTTTGAAAGCGCCTCTTAGAGTGCAGCTCTTTAGCATTCTGACGTTATAGTGCCGACTTTCAGCTTTAATTTGTGGATTTCACAACAATTGTAGCTCTTTTTAAACACAGAGGGTAAGAACTGTGGCGTTAAAGTCCTTCACTGCTCACCCAAAATGGATGTAAACACTCTCAAAGCAAAGAAAAAAGGTTTATACGACGTGTTCAAACACGTCGGGGAAAACAAGTGATTAATAGTCTTTCTGAACGGCCACACTTGTAAATAACTCGCCTGCAGGGTGTTTTATTATTATTATTATTATTATTATTATTATTATTATTATTATTAGAATCCAAACTAACCATTTAAAACATCAAAGTCACACAATAACACTAACTGATGGAGGCAGCTGTAGATCAGTAAAATCACTGTTTGTCAAGAGAGTCTTTGTGTCTTTGAAGAGAGCGTACATAAGTGATTTTAATTGAACCGAGGACGACAGGAGAGGCGTAGATCATAAGAATACATGTCAGTAAAGTACAGTATTTATATAAAGTGTCCTTATTTTCTCTAAACTGGCTTCAGCGTCTCTGTGAGACCTTCACTAAATCCTCCTCCATGCTGCCTTGAGAGGCTCTCGGCCGATACGAATGCTTTAGTTGGAGCGTTTCCACTCAGGCGAATGAAAAGCTTTAATTTTAAACGTTTCATGCCAGAAATCAACTGAATGTCGGTGTGAAAAACCAATGCTTTAATGACGGGAAAGGACACGGGAATATACTGAATGTAAGATATCTCTTCTTCTTCAGGTATGTGTATGTGGTCCACTGTCCTGACGGTCCAGGTCTGGACACGCCCTTCCTGGTTGATTACTCTGGAGTGTACTTCAGGAGAGAAGGCTTAGGAGGGAACTACATCACCGGCATGTCGCCAGAGGAGGTTTGTTATTCTTCTGAGCTGTTTCTTTTTCTCCTATTTTGTGATAAAGAATTAATAGAATATTTATTTTGTTTTCCTCCTCAGGGGGAGGAGCCAGACACCAGTAACCTGGAGGTGGACCACCAGTTTTTTGAGGACAAGGTCTGGCCCAGATTGGCCTCTCGTGTTCCAGCCTTCGAGAAGCTGAAGGTAGGTTTATACGTCGATATATAAAAGAGGTTTTATTCGGCAATCGTTCTATACTTATGCTAGTCCACTTCATCTAATTACTCTCATCATTAGTTATTTTATGGATTTTATTGTTTGTTCAGCTTGCCCAAAGCCTAAACCTTTGCAGATAACTTTTAGAGTTTGATCACATCATTTAGCCAATTAAATTAAATAAATGATCTTTTTTTATAACTTTCAGCCCTCTGTTGTCACTAAGCTACAAAACAAATGTTTGAACCTGTAAACTTCTCCTTGATGTGTGCGTTTCTAGAGGAAACAGTGTGCACATCACCTTGATTTTTATCAGAAAACGTCTCAATAATAAAGTCATAATTGTATTTAAACGGCAGCAGCTTGGTGAGTGAGAACGTTACCCATGTGTCTCTCTAGCTGCTCAGTCGAATGTTTGGCAGCAAAGTTAAGAAACAAACCTTCTAACGTCTATTTTTCTCTCTAATCACTGATTTAAAATATAGATATATACGATCACACAGGTGTTAAACAGTATTCATCTTTTTATGCAACGTCGCAATCACAAAATAAGGATTTGGTGTCTGTTTAATTTGAGGACCGTTTTAACAATCATCCGGATTAAAGTGTCTTAAGCTCTTCTTCTCTCGTTCCGTCCCTCAGGTGACGAGTGCGTGGGCCGGTTTCTACGACTACAACACCTTGGACCAGAACGGCATCATCGGGATGCACCCGCTCATCAACAACATGTACTTTGCCACCGGCTTCAGCGGCCACGGCCTGCAGCACTCCCCCGCGGTGGGTCGGTCGGTGGCCGAGTTGATCCTGGACGGAGACTTCACCACGCTGAACCTGAGCGGCCTCGGCTTCCGGCGCGTTCTGGCCCAGGAGCCGATGCTGGAGCGGAACATCGTGTAGAGGAGGCCGGGACCTGGACGCCTTCACGCTGCTAATGCCACAAGTCTCACAACTTTGGTCTCCATCTTTATAGTTGTGAACATAAGTCCTATCAGTGATGAATGGGTTTGAACTCACCAGGTTAATAACTCAGATCTGGTGGAAAAAAACACTAACTTTTCAGAAAATACGAAGTGGAGAGGAGGTGTGACATTCTGTCAGAGCCTCAGAGGGAGCGGGTCTGGGGGGTTGGACTGGGACAACATAACCCACTTTGACACCAAAGACTTCCTGTCTCCTATCGACAGTCAGCGGAGGAAGAAGTACTCCGATCTTTCTAGTGAAAGGAGCAATAACAGTGTAGAAATACTCTGAATGCAGGACTTTTACTTGTAACAAAGTATTAGTATCTGGGCTCCACAGTAACGAGTTCCCATTGTGAGAAATTCTTATAAAAAAATAGGGACAGCAAAATGTACATATATATATTTTATATATGTGTTGCATTAGTGATATTTAAATACCGCTGGTACAGTCACAACCAGACGACCGTCCATGTGCGTCATCTCGCATTCATACAGGCGAAGAAATTACGTTTTTTGACTGTTTGATGTTTGATGAACCCGTCAAATGTTCAAATTGATTGAACAGACAAAAAAAACGATGAACTTGAAGGAAAGACAAAAAATAGATTTTATGCAGATTGGCCTATTTTAGAGTAATAGATGTTATATTATTTAATAGATTTAATGTGTAAGCATCACTATATGCTGACGGGGAGCTGAATCTGTAATAATAATGCAAAACATCTGAATGTACGAGTTGACTTTTATATATTTTGCATTAATCTGTAAAAATGTAAATGGATCAAATCAATGTAGTGCAGTAAAAAATACAATACCTCCCTCCGAGCAGTAACAGAAAATTGAAATAGTACAAGTACCTCAAAACGTACAATAGATGTATTCTGTTGTTGTGTGAGACGTTGTGCACCAGATGGAGACATTTCTGTGGGATTCTAATAACACGAGGACCATCGTCAAACTGTTTCAGCTCAATTTTAATTAACGAGGGAGAGAGAGAAGGGATCAGGGCCTCAATAAAATAAAGTACCTTTTTAAAAACCTTCAAGGTTTTTCAATTTCAAACTCCAAACTAAAGAGAAAATATGTTTTTGAGGAACATGATTAATAAAAAGCACCTAATTCAAGACCCTGATACACTTAAATTATTAATGATTTTTAAAGACGGGATGAACGCTGCGTTAATGGTATGCATATTAAATCATGGTGTCGGTTGGTCTAACAGGTTATTCACCCAATGTTAACTTTGAAAGCTTCGTTAATATAGCCCAGTTTAATACTCCTCACATATTAATGTGTCTCATGTGGCACATTAAACGTTTCACTGCTCTCAGGATCAACAATAACAGCTCATTTCTTAGTATTTAGATTATTCGAGTATGTTGTGTAAAGAGTAATACTTTCTATAGAGCTTTGAATGATGACCTGATAGAAGTAGAAATGTCTCAGATCGGTACTACGTATTGGTGTTTATTTACTTTGAGAATGAAAAAACTTGGATGGTTTTGTTTCCAGACTTCTTGTCCCTTTACTTTAACTAAACTTTACTGAACATGCTTGTAATCACAAGTAAAGGTCCTGCATTCGAAACCCAATTTAAGTGAAAGTAAAGAAGCTACTGTCAGCAAACTAAAGGTATCAAAAGTCAAATGTGTTCTGCAGAAATCTGGATCCTGGGAGTGTTACACGAATATATATGACATTATTAAAGGACGCTCATTTTTTATGGTAAATATGAAGTTATTCAGCAGAACCGTTAGCTTAGCTTAGCACAAAGGCTGGAAACAGCCTGGCTCTGTCCAAAGCACCTGAACCTGAACCTGCAACCCATCTCCTCTAAAGCTCATTAATTACCACCTGTGTTCTTGTTTAATCCGTGCTAAAATCATAGTTTTACGTGGTTTCATGTCTTTGTTCGGGACCAGTAACTGACCCAGCAATGTTCCTTTAATACGGAAAACATGAATGCAGAAGCTTTGTTATTTTATTGCTGTAGCTGCTTGAGGTAGTTTTTGCTGCTTTATGTACAGTTAGCTAGTTTAGTTCTGCGGGTCCCTCACGAGATAAATCTGACGGGTCTGATTTGTGTTAATTTCTTTCATCTTTGCTTTATTGTGAATTATTGGATAATTTGACCTCTAGAGGGGAATGTCTGTTTGGTGGAACCATTTTGTGTGGTCTGTAGAGCTTGATGGTGCAAACTGTGTTGTGGTTTTCTCATGCAACTAAAGAACAACCCCCCCCCCCCCCCCCCTCATAGTGACACCAGCAACCTCCACATGTTAACTTCCTGCAGCAAAATGCAGCACACCTGCAAAGAGAGCGACACATGCAGAGGAGTCACTGGAAAAAAAACGAGAAGTGTTGGTACTGAAGTGGATTATGTTTCCATGAACTAGACAATAAAAAGCTTAATATCCGCTCATACTGCACCAAATCATTCCCATTAATAACATCAGTTTATGGATCTATCTTTGTGATGATCAAACTGTCCCTGTGACGTTACCAGCACTGGGTTAATTTGTTGAATATCTATAGAAGTAAGGAGCTTTCTTGGACAAGAGGGTTGAGTCACTCATTACCAGCAAGCGACTCCATAGTGCACGTGGAGGGTTAGAAAACAACAGGAAATCAACATGAAGTGTAACTTCCTGGACTCTCCGTAAACTTCAACTGGTCCCAACCAAGAAATCCAGTCCTGCACATAAACCCCGTCCTACATCAACAACAAATATGAACTTTTTCACACTACGAATTAACATAGAACAAGTTAATCTGTGAGCTTTAGAGGGGATCTTTGGTCAGAGCTAAGCTGTTTCCCCATGTTTACAGTATTTGTGCTAAGTTGAGTTAGCTCCATATTGAGCGTACAGATGTTACATCTAACTCTCAACAAGAGAGCAAATGGGATTATTTCCCAAAATGTTGGACTTTTCCTTGAATGAGTCGGCAGCATGTTTGTCTAATTCTCTCATTTTTAATATTCTTAATGCTTTGTTTTTAATTTTGCTCTTTATGGTCTAATACTAACAAAGTTAGTACAGAGGCCTGTAAAAGTCTTGCGGGTTCTCTGCAGATGAATTAATACATCAGAAACACTGAGTGCATCTTCATCCATCTCCTGCTCCCTTCATTTACATCCAGTTAACGGCATCTGTGTCCATCGCTGAGGGGCGTCGTATCAATTCAAACCCTCTTATATCATAACGCATCATGGAAATATGCTGCCTTCTGTAGCCAGGAGAATATGGCGAAGACATTTTGTCCCTGCAGCTCTTCATTTAGATGCAAATGTGAGGCGGCCCTGTGGGTTCGAATGCGGTGGTGGGTGGGTGGGGGGAACCAGGGGAAACGCAATTGAGGGATTTCTTTGTGAGGCCCGACGCAAATCCCAAATGTTCTCAGGGCTGAAAACAAAAGCAGCATGGGTGCTGCACCGGCCACGAAAGGCCCCTTCAATGGATGCACCTCCTGCCACACAAAAGCACCGAGGGCTGCATGTTCCTCTCCCCACGTTGGAGAGACATTTACAGCCGAAGTCACCGGTACTATCGTTAAGACTTCTTTTTGTGGTGACTGCTTGAGTGATGAAGGGAGCCACCGTGAAGCGACGCCTGGCGGGAGCCTCCCCAGCTGGCTCCGCTGTCTGTGTGAAGCCAGTGTACATGGTGGCATGTGGCTGGGATTAGGAAATTTCACTGTGGATTAAAATCTTTCCAACGCCTCCGTGGCCGCTCGCTGGGAGAAAGTCTGAAGTTCCAGCGGAGATCCAGTGAGCACTCTGGGCCCATGGTCTCCCGTAGCAGGTACGTTGAACTTTTCTCTGCTTCTTTGAACTGATTGTGGATGAATTTATTTACTTGTTTTAGACTTTCTGTCCAGATCTTGTCAAAGAGTGCTATTAACTTCTCTAACAACCCAAATGAGTCTCATATCCAACACATACAGGGTTGTTTTTACCAGAGGAGTTCAGCTGCTGAGAGGAAAGTTACTTCAACATTTTCATAACTTTATATGTGATTGTAAACGTTCTCTAGCAGAATATTCAACAGTGGCTTTATACAAACAACTGAAGGAATCCAAAAACAGTACTTTTAAGCCCTCATTAAAGGCTTAATAGCTGGAAAAAACAACAACAATGGCACAAGTAGTTCTCCTTGTTCGTCCAACACCAACATGAGGAATTAATGAGAACAATACTGTTAAAAAAAATGATTAAGATTATTCTTATAAACTAAAACGTTTTATTACAAAAAAAACTAGCACCATTTTTTCTTTTCAAGGGAACAAGTTCTCTGAAATGTAAATCTTGAGTCTGTTATGTAAGACTCAAAGTGAACCACGTGGTTCAAACAGTACAAACGGGGAAAATAACAATAACTTGCATTATTCTGTTGTAGGCCCGTACTAATCTAATGACCAATAAGGGGAATTAATGTCTTTAAGTCACTGTTTGCTCTCTATCAGAGACAGTTATTGACAGTGAGATACATTGTTCGCGTTCAGGATAAATGATAAATATTCTTTATTTTTGTTATTGTCAACAAATCCCATGAAACAGCCAAAACCAACACTGTGTTAGTTCTGCCACATGATGAAGTAAATCTATAAAAAATAGGTCACAAATATAAAGTTCTATTTTTTTTTTTAAAGGCTCAGTAATTTATAACTGTAGTTTTTAATCAAACGTGAGTAAATAGTGCATTTGTTGGGGACTATTTTCAGCGGCGGATGTATACACATTTGATGCTCCAGTGAGTGTTTACAGCAGCGTGATGTGTTTGGAGCTCTGAGACACAGAATAATAAGATATATAAGGTTTCAGCTATACAGACAATAGTTGTTAGTTTAAATAAATTAATTGTTGGATTTTTTTTGACAATATGAAAAATATAGAATATCACAGACTTATCCTTTACAGTAAGTAGAAACAAATTTGTGAATTGAACAATCAATGTTTTTTATATAACATGCTAGGCTCAGTTAGCTGCTCTGTTGGTTTCTTTCCAAGCTAAAGGGTTTTTCCTGATTAAGACTTAAGTCTAACTTCGTCTTATGCTGCACAGATTGTGAAGCCCTTTGAGGTCAGTTTGAGATTTTGGGAACATGGACTTGACTTTGACTGATACACATCGGTACTAATCTACGGTTCTCTCCAGCTCCAGGATGTTCCAGGTGCTCCAGGGTCACATCCAGCCGGCCGGACACCGAAGCCGCAAAGCTCGCCTGGTCAGCAAAGAAGGGCGCTGCAACATCGAGTTCGGCAACATCGAATACAGCAACCACCTGGCGTACATGGTGGACCTGTGGACCACGTTCGTGGAGATCCGCTGGCGCTTCGTCCTCCTCCTGTTCGTGGCCTCGTTCACGGGCAGCTGGTTCATTTTCAGCCTGCTGTGGTACTGGATCGCCAAGAGCAACGGGGACCTGACGGGCCAGAACCGAACCGACGGACACGTCCAGTGTATAGACAACGTCAACGGCCTCACGACGGCGTTCCTCTACTCCCTGGAGACCCAGACCACCATCGGGTACGGTGGCAGGGCGCTGACGGGCCACTGCGCCGGCACCGTGGCTCTGATCATCGTCCAATCGCTGATCGGCGTCTTCATCAACTGCTTCATGTGCGGCGTCATCTTGGCCAAGATCTCCTTGCCCAAAAACAGGGCGAAGACCGTCACCTTCAGCGACACGGCCGTCATCTGCTTGAAGAAAGGAAGCCTGTGTCTCCTGATCAGAGTGGCGAACCTTCGGAAGACCTTGTTGATCGGCAGCCAGATCTACGGCAAGCTGCTCAGGACAATGACCACACCGGATGGAGACACCATCATTCTGGACCAGGTGGACATCGACTTTGTGGTCGACGCCGGAAAGGACAACTTGTTCTTCGTTTGCCCGATGACCCTCTACCACGTGATCAACAGATCGAGTCCGTTCTACGAGCTGTCGGCGGACTCTCTTCCCCACCAGGACTTTGAGTTGGTGGTGTTTTTGGACGGCACGGCCGAGTCCACCAGCTCCTCCTGTCAGGTCCGAACCTCCTACGTCCCCCAGGAGATCCAGTGGGGGTACAGTTTCCTGCCCATCATCTCCCGCACCAAGACAGGGAAGTACCGCGTGGACTTCTCGAACTTTTCCAAAAGCGTCCGGGTCACCACGCCGCACTGCGTCAGCTGCTTCGAGACGGACGCCGACCAGAGAAACCACAACAGCAGCCAGGACGGAGAAAACCACAACCAGCAGCAGAAGTCGGGGATCGACAACTTGGGCTTCCAGGTGATCGACATTCACGACTCCGTGGACATCACCAAGATGTGAGTGTTGCAAACCCTCGTGAATCAGGAAGTGAGGAATAAAGTGTGAAAAAGCCACTTCCCTTTGAAGCAAAGTTTCACTGTTCAGTCAGACTCTCTTGACGAGGAGAGAATATCTGCTTCCTCCAGTGAATATTTGAGTTAATCTAGTTTTTTTTTTTTGCCTCGAACAGCAGAAACAGTCAAAGTGTGGATAAAAACTCAGACATGAGCGAGAGTTAAGCTCTTTGCTCAGCAGCTCATTACAATCAAAGCACCTTTGGGACATGTGACTTTGTCTAGGTAACGTGTGGAAGAGGAGGGGGGGGGGGTAGAAAAAAAGAGGGATTGAAGTTTTGACACATCAAAAAACTGAAAGGGGTAAAATACTGGATGGCACAGTGGGTACTTCTTGAGGAGATTAATGCCTGAGCCCGTTATAATAAGAACTGTGTGCTATAAAGTCTGTGGAAGGAAATAAGAAGTAGGACAGGCCTTTGGAGTTCTCTCATTAGTCCAACTAAAGCACTAACTGTAAGCCTTCATAGTTAGCAAACTGTGGACATAGCTGCTGAATAAATGAGATTATTTTAACTGTGACCAGTCTACATTTTTGTCCATCATACTGTTGTAACACTGAAACTTCTTCTCAGGGAAAATAACAACCTTAGTAGGAATAAACCCCTTTTTTCACATTTTTGTGTGTTCTTAATGTGTGTTTTTGGTATTCTACACGTTAAATATGTTGTCTGAATATGCAGGAATATGATTAATACTGGTATTAATAATACTGGTTGAAAGTACATTTACTCAAGTGCTGATTTGCCTTTGAAATTAGAGATACTTTCACTTTATTTCAGTACGGTTATTCAATTTTATGCTACTTTATAAGGCTGATTATATTATATATATTTAATCATTTAATAATTTACCAATGTTTTGAAGTGGCAGTCTTCTTCACGGTAAAGAGACAAGCTTTGAGAAATTCTGACAGGGATTTTTCACCATTTAATAAACCAAACGATTAATCAATTAATCCCAGAAATCAACAGACTAATCGACAATGAAAATTACCGTCGGGGGTAGATCTAATACAAAGTCATTTCTAAAATGAGCTCAACTTTGGTGAACAACATTAAAATACTTAATTCCTAATAATCTAACATATAAAAACACTGCATAACAAGTACTTTTACCTTTTGATATTTAAAAGTACATTTTGACGATCATACTTCTGCACTCGTACCTGAGGAGGAGTTGGAATGCAGAACTTTTACTCGTCATGGAGTCAAGTACTGTACTGAAGTATTTTCAGGTATTTGTACTTTACTTGGGTATCTCCAGTTTAAGGTACTTCTACTCTGTTTCGAGGCAAACTTTGTACCTTTTTTACTCCACTACATTTATTTGACGTTGCAGATTCACATTATTAATAACCTATAAATAAACTGATAGATGCTGATGTATCATTATGCATTAAGCTACCCAGCAGTATATAATGTCGCTGTGATTAGCTTCATGTTTACCAGCTGCAACATTAGTGACGCTTACACTTTTAACGCATCCATAACTATAATCCACATACAGTATTTGTATATTTGATGGACTTTTACTTTTAACAGAGTGTTTCCACATTGTTGTATTTATATTTGTATTAGAGTAAAAGATCTGAGTACTTCTTCCACCACTGCTGGTTATGATTTTCAGCATCAATTAAAGGGAATTTAAGTATACGAGGCAGTGATCAGCATCAGCCTTGTGTCTTGCAATCACAACACTCGTGCTTTTGTCACATCTCTTATAAATAATCTCCATCTCTCTTTGCTGTTATATAACATACGGTATGTAAATACCATAAGAACTCACTAGAGAGCATCAGAGAGCTGCTACGATTTAGCACGATTAGCATAAAAACATTATTATAAACAATTAATGCTGCAATAAAACATGTTTTTTTGTATTTTCAAGCTGTCCCAGTTCTACCAGCAGACTCTCTTTCATATGCTCTGTGATGTTGGATATAAACTTTTGATGCTCACACTTTTTTCCCCCCGAACACCCTGCAAAACATCACCTGATACAGTCGCTCACCGCTTCGTGCTGGAGTGATGGACCCTGAGTGCGTCTCTGCAGGTGATCCAGCGGTGGAGTTTTCATTTAAAGACATTTTTTTCTGTCAGTGAGGCAGATTCCTCTGGAGTAGCTTTTCATCCCGTTTGGATTAACTGGGCTTCATCTGCATAACAATGAAAAGAAAAGTGTTGAGAGGGATTGGCACAGCGAGTCTGAAGCTGCACAGAAGAAGAAAGAAAAAAGGAAGGGCTGAGTGAGAAGATGCAGTGTTTAAATGTGACAGAGCCGCTGATAATATGTGGTGGAGATATAGGAAAAATATACAGAGAGGAGGAAGAAGTACTCACATCCTTTACGTAAGTAAAAAAAAAAGCAATATGCACAGTGTAGAAGTACTCTGCTACAAGTACAAGTCAAGTACATGTAATATCTGATACCTTAACACTCTGAAATGACAAATGATGGAGTAATTCTGTGTTTTATGTCATTGGTATCTGATCAGGGATGGAAAGCAACTGAGTATTTATCAAAGTACTGTACTTATGTATAAATTTGAGGTACTTGTATTTTACTTGAGTATTTCCATCATCTGCTACTTAATACTTCTACTCCACTACGTCTCAGAGGGAAATATTGCACTGTTTACTTCAGTTGCTATAGATTAAATTAACAAACATCTTATCATGTAGAGCTGTGACAATTAGTAGACATACTACATCAGAACAATGTATACTGGTATTGTTATTGTTATTAATGCATTAATGTAACACTATTATTTAAAATACTTTATGCTGGGTAGTTTGTGAATTCCCCTCAGGAGATCAATACAATGTTATTTTGATCTATAATATGACATCAAAATGTATTTATTAATGATAGTTTCTGTCATTGATTTGAATCTGCAAAGTAACTAAAGTTATCAAATAAATATAGTTGAGTAAAATGTACAATATTTGCTTCTGAATTGTTATGGAGAAGAAAGAAATACTGAAGTAAAGAACATGCAAGGTTAACTGTTACCTCAAAATTATATAAATACAACAGATTTACTATCCAAATGGAGAAAACTACACAGTGTTTGATTGTATTTTATGCTACTTTATACCTCTATTTCACAAGAAAATGTACTTTTTACTGCACTACATTGATTTTACAGCTAATTTTAGTTAACTTACATGAATTACCTGCTCTCCTCAATTTGCTCTTTACATCCTAACGTTTCTATGTGCTGTCAGTTTGGGTAACGTCAGCCATCTTTGCCCATTTTTACCTTATCGTTCTGCTGCCTCCATGTTTGGACGTCTGCCAACTGCGAGCCAATGAGGACCAAGGTACTTGAGCAATAGCCAATCCGATTGCAGCAGGGTACCAGGTGATTATAGCACCACCTATTGGATGTGTCGTACATACTGTCCGTATCCCAGCATGCCCTGTGGTCCTGCTTCAGTCCTTCTTACGTCTTAGTGGCCACTAAAGTTAGTTGTCAACCAACAATATGGTCTTTTTAAAGCCACAAACCCAAACATGGCTGACATGGTGTCAGAAATGGACCTTTGATTTAATGATTTATCACATTATTGAGCTGTCGCATGCTTTTTGTTTGCTATTGCTAGCTCCGAGGAAGCTCAGTTGGCAATCTGAGTGGCCAATCATACATAGGTAAAAACCAGTGGAGCTAATATTAGCACAGTACATTAGCACACTGTTACCTAGCGTTAGCACTTCTATGCTACGCTAGCTACTGGAGGTATACTGACTTGCTTTTTCATGATTGTAACAGTGAATACAGGAACAGAGTTCCTTAATTTCATTGTCTTCTGATCTCCAGGTGATGTGATAGTTGACTTTTACACTGATATCTGTAGCTTTAGCTTCTATCTTTATCTTTTTAACCTGTTTTCACAGATAAATCTGTTTGACATCCAGGATATAAACTTCAAACACATCTTGTAGACCTGTCTCTCTGCTCCTCTCTGAAATCACTTCTATACTTTTCCAAAAATGTGATAATTTTCAGGGAGTGCAGTTAGTGACAGTGTGGGCTCCATGGTAGCAGCGGGGACCAGCATTGAGTCAATCCAAGCTAATTTTTACCGACATACATACATATATACTGTATGTATATATCGGTAGGTATACGTATATGGTGCTCCTTGTTTTTAGCTGTATGACTATTTCTGTGTATGTGCACTGAGATCACACTTGTCCAATAACACAGAAGAAATTATGGATCAAACATCTTGACTTAGTGACAAACAGGAGAACAAACTCAAATCAGAATGGCAAATTTATTTTATTGACAACTCCTGGATCCACACAGGCAGCAAAATGGAAATCATTTCACATGTAAACATGTTGTTTAAGGTCACTTGAATGTATTGAATGTTGGCAGGACACACACACACACACACACACACACACACACACACACACACACTAGCATGAAGTTATCCCACTGAAAGTGTTCAATATGTCAACATGATCATATTAGTGGGTTGCTTACTGTATGTAAAGCTGAGCATGCAGAAGAACTTTCCCAGCAGCCTTCATTTAAACACCAGAAATGATGCATTAAGGTCAGAGTATTTTTTTCTTTACATTATAGCGTTTAGGATCACATCCTCCAGATCAATAATGTTTCACACATCAGAGGCCTCGTGGACAAAAAGTGTTAATGTCCTGAAGTATTGATATCCCACTTTAGAGATGACTCACAGCCAATCGATGATAGACACCATTAAAGGACCATTAAAGACTTCTTTTCTAGTTGTAAAAGATTGTTCTTTTAAATGCTGAAACAAAACGTCAACGTTTCAATATCTGATTCATCATCTCAGTCATAAATCGAGTAAAAATGCAAGACTGCATTGCAAAAGTCTGGCTCCAGCTTCTCATATTTGCTGATTTTATTTGTTTTATCTCAGTAAATTTAACATATTAGTTTGTTTTTTTTAAACTGAAGCAACTTGAAGACGTCAGCTGCAGCACTAAGCAACTGCGATGGGCAATTATTTTCAATTTTCCGGCATTTTAAAGATCAAGAACATCAGAAAATAAGCGTGAGTTGCAGCCCTAGTTTTAATTTCTATCATTTCATCTGTGGATTCATGTGAAGTCCAAACAATGACTGTTACTTCCCTATTGTTCATTTAAAATTAATTTAAAAGCACGTCATGGTGACAAACAAATGCAGATGTGTTATAAAAAAAAAATGAGCATGAAATCACATCCTCTGACTTACTGTATTACAAGATGAAAGAATGCACACAAAGCTGCAGGCAATTTAAAATCTCCAAATCCCCGGTAAGCTTTGGACGGAGGGACGAACCGTAGTAACTTCCACTCAGAAAGGACTATTATAGGACCTGCTGGGAGGTAACAGTGCCAACCACTGAGCAACTCTGCTGCCTTTTAATTAACTCTTAAATGATTAATTAATTAATCAGTGGAGCTAATGGAGCTACGTTTCATTTAGGACCTATTTCTGGTGTGTAATTACCGCTGGGCTTTAATTTTCCCAACACTCACACCTCCTCCATTTCCCAATAAGACTGAAGGGCGTCTGTTCAAAGCAGCTTTTATCTTCTCATTTCATTTTAGTAATGTGGAGACATTTTGTTGGCTGATTAAGGGCAGAAACCCCCCAAAACAAGCTAAAAGACACACAGTACTGACATATTGGCGCCCTTTAATGTTACGGCTAACGTGTTTGCAAATAGCTGCCAGTTAGCTCCACTTTGAGCAACAGCAACATTAAAGTGCCGCTTTTATATTAATACATCAATGATGATCCAATGAAATAATAGTAATGACAGCAGCCACTCTGCATTATGAGTACTTTTGATACTACATTTTGTTGGTAATGCTTACATATTTTGACTTAAATTACATTTTGAATGCAGGATTGTTTGACTTGTAATAGAGTATTTGTTATTCTTCCGCATGGACTGAAGTGAGTGAAGCAGCCGTTTCTGCTTCGGTGGCTGTGAGTGAAGGAAACGTTGCACAATCTTTTCAAACTATTGTTCCAGAAATAATGTTTCCACTGAACAGATTCGACACAAACACACATTTGTTGTGTTTCAGTAAATCAGATGTTCAGACGGTCGACCAGCGGGTCCGCTGCCAGCGAAAATATTCATCACGTTTACGGTTTAGTGGCTCCTCATCCATACGGAGAGAGAAGCTCGACTAATGTACTCGATATAAATATTTTAGCATGATTGGGACTCAGCTGCATCACAAAGACCGGTGTCACAATGTCCCGTAGGAATAAACCAGAGCGGTATGTAGTTAACTTAATAAAATATATTCTTAAATCACTAATCAATCATAACTTTGTCCCAAAATTACATGACTTATTGAACCCAAATCAGTTCAAAATGAATCTGTATGAAGCATTTTCAGGTATTTTGTTCTGCCCACATTTGAGGACAGATGATTTTTTTTCCTCCCAGCTGGACCAGTGAAACCAGTGACCTTCCATTCACACACCTGCTGCCATTAAGATAAGTGCATTTATTATTCACCCTATCAAACATTTATTGCCTCTTTGAATCTGAACTAATGCGATATGGAGTCTCTATAGCTTAAAAGGAATTATTGGTTTAATTTGATTTCTTCTTCTCTGTTAGTTATGAGTCTTTTTTACGAGTTTCTTTCTTAGTGTAGTGAAGTAAAACCCTCTTTTTGGCCACTTGGGGGCAGCAGCCACAAGCTGTGACCACAGCACGAACATATTATCTACTTGTAAAGATGTTAGAGGACAGTTGCTTATTTACTAATTCAGCAGATGTGGAGAAAACATCTGCATTTGTTTGGAGGCCTGTTTCTGCCCACTACGTCTAAAATCTTTAGCTTTTTTCAACAACAAAAAAGGAAACAATGATATCATACGAAATGTTGTAAGACGAAACGTTGCGTTAATTATCTCTGGAGCTCTCAAATCTATCCTGTGGCCTCTTTGTGGAGACCCGACCCACACGTTGGGAACCACTTCTAAACCACTTTGCAGTTACTTATTTATTTTATTCATCTTTTTGATGCTGCTGCCGGTTCCTCTGCTCAGCTCTGAGGTATATCTGACTTCTCCTGTGTATTTGTAACCTACTTAACTTATTGTGAAGCTTCTTCTGACTCACAGTGAGAACGGAGCTAAAACACAGAAATATTAACTTGCAGTTCTTAACCTACATCAAATCGTTTTATTCGGCGTTACGTTTGGATGTTGCAGCCGACAGGCTTCACTATATCAGCGGACTGAAACATTTCCATCGTTAACGATGCGACTCCAAAGCTTTTATTGGGGCCTTTTTTTGGTTTAAATCCGGCTGGAAAACATGAAAGTCTTACGATCGTTCAGCAGAAATTATTTTGGCTCCAGAAAGTATCCGTCACAGCTCTTTGTGGTCGAGTCTTATTCAGTAATAACGGCGTCTCCAGAGGTTTTATGATTCTAGTCTCGAGTGAGTGTATTCAAGATCACAGCCGTCCTTCGGTTTGGTGTAAAAATACCAACTGTACACAGCAAGAAGAAGGAGCATTTCCTGTTCCTTGACATCCAGATATTCTACTATTAACAGCTAAATATACCTAAAGTATGAAGAGTTAAGGTATTAAAATGTTCCCAGTCAGTGTTTTACTATTATATCTGATGTTCCTGGATTAATTAATGTGCATGTTGCATGTTTTAAACTAGTTTAATCTTCATCAATGCATCATATTGTAGAACATCATCTCTGTCCTGCGAGAACCACGTATCTCAGCTTTGTGACGATGTGTTTTCCAGCTGATCCAAGAGGCTTTTTAAAGAGTTTCAGTTTATGAAGAAGGATTTCTTCACATTCAACCTTCAGTTTATCTCAAACATTCAACATCAACACATCTGGAGATATGTGGTTTTCACTGGACAGGAAGGGGAGGAAAACTAAAGCTGTCAGAGAAATGTAGTGGAGTAAAAAGTACAATAAAAATACTTAAAGAACAAGTACCTTGAATTTCTACTTAAGTACAGTACTTTAGTTGCATCCCAGCACTTGTAGTCTTTGTGTATTTTGTCCGTGTTGCTCTTTAACATGAACCAACGATGAATTTTAACCATCTTATTCATATATTTTTTGCTGTAAATCCATAAACAGTTTATACACGAGGCCTCTGACTTTCAAACACCAATAATCCACTTATTATATGACATTCAAATGCCACGCAGGGCACGTTGGAGCTAATGAAGCGGGTTGGCTTTGTTATTTTTGTATAACGAGGTCAAAGATCAGAATTTCCCACAAGTTTCCCAGCATGCGTCCAGTCACACGTACTGGAACCACTGCTGCCGAACACACGAGGAGCCGCCGACGGGAAACGACTCGACTTGGATATTATTAGCTCGTCTCCGCTCACTGCGCCGCTGAACGGCTTTGACATCGCTTCCAATCATCTGGTAGGAAACGCCTGCAGCGGCTTCCTTCATCTCAGACACTGCAGATGTGCAAATCATCTCAAGATGTTTGGGGGGTTTAGCTCATTGAGCGGCAGCATTTTATTTTACTTTTTTATTTCATGAATGCTTTTTTTTTCTTTCCCCCAAAGGCTGCTGGGATAAATCCTTAGATTATAAAAAAGAGACGCACAATATAATAAGAGCGGACAAACATGACTCACAGTCGCAGAAACAAGCACTTTACATTTTGAGGATATTTGTTAAAAAAACACATGAATCGTCTGGCCTGAATTTAAATCCCAGGTTTGTTTTTTGTTTGTTTGTTTGAGACTCTCTCAGGATCCGACCTTCATTCGGTCAAATCTCACTGCAACAAGGGAATGAGGTGATGTGGCGTCACTGTGGTTATGACTAGAGGATGGGGGGGGTAACATGAGATCCACCGAGTCCATCTGTGCTACAGGTGAAGAAGCAGCACTGCGTTTGTTTTTCCTGAGTGGACACAGAACTGCATGTTTGGCTGGAGCCAGCGCCCAGTTACATCAAGTTTAAGTCCTGAAGACAGAAGTACAGTTGTTTTGTTAAACGCTTATTCGCTTTCAATGACGTTAAGATGAGAAGATCGACTTAGTTTAAAGGTAACGTGTGAAGCCTCCTCATATTTCATAAATCAAAGTTGTCTTTTATACCAGCTTCAGTTCATTAAACATTTTGCTGTTAGCGATCAAAGGATAACCAATTTTTACCTCCATTCAGAAATGTGGAGCTAAAAAACACATTACTCAGAAATGTTGCTTCTCTTTGCACTTGTTTTTAGCGACGTCGCTTCATTCGCAGATCTCAGCAGTTTGTGTTGTTAGATATGAACGATGGCCAAAAGACAGAACCAGAACAGTCTTGAAATGCATTTAAGAATATTTCCTTCACTCTTTTTCTCAGAATATGGATCTTTAAAAGATGTTTAATGTAACTGGGCACCGGCGTGCAAAAGGCATTTTCATGTATTTTGTCATAATGATGCACTTAAATGAGTTATCAATGAGGAAAAGTAAAATGTTTGTTCAAGAAGCAGAACCATCAACAACTACAATCCGGAGCTTTTTCCCTTTAAATGCTGAAGGTTGAATGATAAAACCTCCTAAACCTCCTCGTGTTCATTGGACTGTGGGGCTTTTGCAGCGCCGGTATTCTCATAGAGATTAAATTCTTCAGAGGGGGGGGTAAAAACACTGGCTGCCTTGGAAAGAGAGGCGCAGCTCTTCATTTAGCTACGGTAAACAAGAAGCTTTGAAGTCAGCCATTTAAAATAGGATTTACATGAATAAATAAATGGTGTGAGCTCCGACACTGTTCATGAAATTGCACAAGAAGGCAGACGGCTTTTCTTCTGTATATTGACAGGTTATGGTCTGGGAGTTATTAATAAATACACCTTTTTGTCTTTGTTTAAACTCATGATCTTGGGAATGTTTCCACGTGTGACGGATGAAAAACAATGAGAGTTTATATTAAAACACCACTTTATTGACGCCGTGGTTCCCTTTGATGACTCCTCTGGCCTCACAATGAGATCCTTTTTGTTTTGTTTGGACTGAAGATGTGCTGCACAAACTTGTGCTTCACATTCTGTGTAAAGTATATATATATATATATA